CTCTCTTGCCTCTATAATAAACAAACACCAAACCAGCGGCAATAACAATCCACCATGAAATATATCCAAGAGTTGAACCCAATGTGGCTTCATTTCTCCAACCAAACAGAGCATGGGCAATACCCCAACCAGTACTCTGCTCTGGGTCACAACAGCCGATCTTCCACAAGACTTTTATGGGTGTTCCTGATGCTTCGTTTAATTCAAACACGGATGACGAGAACAAGCCGCTGGAGATAAATAATAAAAGTACAGTCATCACGGCAAAGAAGATATTAAGGGACATAACGTTGGATCCCTGGTAAATGAGATATCCAACAATGACGCCGCAAAGAATTCCAGTGAAAACGGGAATAGGGAGACCAGATGCGGGTTTATCAAAGCCAATCTATAATTATAATAAAATGTAATATGAAAAAAAATATGCAGTGTTTAATTAGCTACAAACTCAACATTACGCATTTTTGCAGTAATACGTTATTTTATATAGCGTTAGACTTACCCCGGCAATGAATACAAACGATTCGAGACCTTCTCTAGCGACAACACTGAATGAAAGAAGGAGCATAGCCCATTTCTCTCCTTGGCTATGCCTGGCAAGATACTTTTCAGTTGCCTCTTTGAGCTTGCCCTCCCACTTGGACTTCCATTGGCTGACTCTTATCATGCCTAAACCCATTATTAATGTCACAATGGCCGCCAAAAGCGAGAACACCCCCTCTGCAAATGATAAATAATAAATTAAAGTTAGACCTTGCATTGTTACATGTACGTTTGACGGTTGATCAAACAGATCGAGCCAATAACGGTTAGAATAATTTACCCCATATTGCTTCACTATTCGCCCAGAGGTTGGCAGCGATTGTGTAGAAAACAGCAACGAAAATACCACCGAGTATTATCGTGATAATAAGCCCTGCGCCGGTACCTATCCATACTTGTTTTCTTAATTTTCTTTTCAGTAGCGGATTGTCTTCCGGGACGAGTTTGTTGATCATACTAAGAAGTACAGCAAGAATAACACTACATTCTGCAGTCTCCCTGAACAATATAAAAAACGCCGCGACGTCAAAGAGATATACCATTTTTCTTTACGTTAGGTAATAAGAAAGTCTCTATAGAGTTAGTTGTGGGGAGTGAAAATTCATCATGTTAGTAACAGTG